GTGTTTGTGTGTGTGTTTGTGTGTGTGTGTGTGTGTGTGTGTGTGTGTGTGTGTGTGTGTGTGTGTGTGTGTGTGTGTGTGTGTGTGTGTGTGTGTGTGTGTGTGTAAAAGAGTTTTCATGTTTGTTCGTTTGTGTGTTTGTCCGTGTATATATTTGTGCGTGTGTGTGTGTGTATGTTTTTGTGTCTATTTATGTGTGTGCAACGGTTTTCATATTTTTGTGTGTGTGTGTGTGTGTGTGTGTATGTGTGTCTGTTTGTGTATATGTGATTGTTAGTGTGTGTGTGTGTGTGTGTGTGTGTGTCTGTCTGTCTGTCTGTCTGTCTGTGTATATGTGATTGTGTGTGTTTGTGAGTGTGTTTGTGTGTCTGTGTATGTGTTAGAGTTTTCGTATGTTTGTTTGTGAGTTTGTCTGTATGTGCGTGAGTGTGTGTACATGTATATATGTCTGTGTGTAATTGTGTATGTGAGTGTGTGAACAGACGCTGTGCTCTCAGTAACACAATCTGATGGTCAAGTCAGCAGAGACTCATTGAGTTTCACAGGCAGTGTGTGAAAGAGGGAGTGACTGAGGTAACACCTTACACACATTTGCACACACGACACAGCGGCTCGTTCACACTCCTGAGTTTCTGTCAGCTACTGTACATCAGCTCTAAACACTTGAAATAACACATATTGTCCTGATTTATCACTGATGTACTATTAATTACTATCTGTCATAAGTTACATTAAAAGTTAGCGCAATTTCCGAACAAAATACTGGAGTAAGTTATAGTAAAAACTGAAGCATATTTATACCATAGCGTAGTAAAGTACTTGAATTGATCTGTTGTAGTAATTCTACATTTGCTATGGAAACAGAACAACTATAGTAATTGATCTGTTGTGGTGATTCTACGGTTGCTATGGTTACACAACAACTTCAGGTAATTGATCTGTTGTGGTGATTCTATAGTCACTATGGTAACACAACTACAGTAACTAATCTGTTGTGGTGATTCTACAGTTGCTATGGTAACGCATTCAAATTCATTCATTTTCTTGTCGGCTTAGTCCTTTTATTTATCCGGGGTCGCCGGCAGAATGAACCGCCAACTTATCCAGCAAGTTTTTACGCAGCGGATGCCCTTCCAGCCGCAACCCATCTCTGGGAAACATCCACACACACATTCACACACACACTCATACACTACGGACAATTTAGCCTACCCAATTCACCTGTACCGCATGTCTTTGGACTGTGGGGGAAACCGGAGCACCCGGAGGAAACCCACACGAAGGCAGGGAGAACATGCAAACTCCTCACAGAAACACCAACTGAGCCAAGGTTCAAATCAGCAACCCAGCGACCTTCTTGCTGTGAGGCGACAGCACTACTACGTCACTGCCTAGTAACTGATCTGTTGTGGTGATTCTACAGTCGCTATTGTAACTATAGTAATTGATCTGTTGTGGTGATTCTACAGTTGCTATGGTAATACATCAAATATAGTAATTGATCTGTTGTGGTGATTCTACAGTTGCTATGGTGACACAACAACTATAGTAATTGATCTGTTGTGGTGATTCTACAGTTGCTATGGAAACACAACAACTACAGTAATTTGACTGTTTTGGTGATTCTACAGTCGCTATGGAAACACAACAACTACAGTAATATAAACAAAAAGCCCTACACTGTAGTTTTCTACGACTGTATGTTATTTTATACTATAATACAGCTCAGTTTACTGCAGTAAAAACTAAAGTATACTACAGTATTGAGTTGGTCTGTTTACTATAGTTAACACGACAGTGTGCTGGAGCATTCCTTAACATGATTTTGCTAATAACATATACAGTATAATACATTTTATTATAATATTTTGCACTATGAATTACTTAGAAAAGTGTGTGTGTGTGTGTGTGTGTGTGTGAGAGAGAGAGAGAGAGAGAGGGGGGAGAGAGAGTGAGTCTGCCTGTGTCTGTAATAGTGAGTGTCAGAATGTGTGTGTGTGTGCGACTGTGCGTTTCTCTCGTGTTGCCGTCATCTCCGGTTCTCTGTCTCTCATCTCTCGGTCGGGCGCGAGCTTTAATGGATCTTTAACGCGCGTGAACAAAAGCGCGCCGAACGTGTTAAAGTTCGCGGGAACGCGTGAGGAGATTGACACTCCGATCACAGCGTGAGAAACACGGCCATAAAGCGCATCAAAACACACCACAACACTCTCAAACACTGCAATCATCCTGCTTTACGACAATTCATCCATGTCTACTCCATCATTAGGTCTGGGATTTTGTTCGGTATTAATTATGTACAGTAACAACTTAGGCTATGTGCTTTGAAACTTTTCAGATACAGGGACTTGGGAATAGTTCACTCATTGTTTTCATCATTCACTCACTACTCATTTGTTTCCAAATCTGTTTGATTTGTATTAGTTGAACACAAAAGAAGATATTTTGAAGAATGCTGAAAACCTGTAACCATTGACTTCCATAGTATTTGTTTTTTTTCTACGTTGTAAAATAAATCTGAATTTAAAAAATAAATAAAAGTGTTTTCAGTTTATTTGTGGTTTTGAAATGCGTTATGGGATGTTGATCTCTGCTGTGTCGACTTTTAATGTTGAAAACTCAACTCTACAGTTTAACAAAGTGACTTTATTGACAGTTTAGTAGTTTTAAATAATATAATGTATAAAAAATAATATATAAGATAAATATGTAAAATCGACTGCTGTCAGTTTATTACAAGATATTTGTAGCATCGTTTGTACACTGTAAAAAGTTATTAGTTACTTAAAGCGAGTAAACCAATTGCCTTAAAAGCAACAAGTTGACTTTACAAAAATAATGTAAGTAAGCCTGCTGTAACTTAGAACTGTTTACTTAATATTTAATTATGCAAATTGTACTCATTGTCTTAATAAAAGTAAACTAATCACTTTTTCCAATACACCTTTATTATATTTGATTTTCCCCCAACTTTTCTGTATCGCAAAATGACATACAGTAAAATAAATCTGCTCCTCCAGACTCCTAAATTCAATACAGGCTATAACTGTAAATTTTATAGACGTAAAGAAGCACCAAATACATATTATTGGAATTATGGACGTGCTAAAATAGTCTGACACTGTAAAAAGGGATTAGTTGGTTTTAAAAAGGTGAGTACAATTGGCATAATTATAAAAATTAAGTCAACTTAACTGTTCCAAGTTACAGGGTTACTTATTTTTGTCAACTTGTTGCTTTTAAGGCAATTGCTTTACTCACTGTAAGTAACTAATAACTTTTTACCGTGTAGTTGTACAACACCGGCCCAGCCAATATGGCATTGCAAACTATTATATTCATAAAAGTCACTTTTTTTAATTTATCAAGATTAAAAGTTGCTGGAAGAATGATCAAGCTTCCATAATGCAATTCAAAAGCAGAAATAAACAGGGGAAAATACTAAATAATAACATGAATCACAAAATACAGAATATTTTTACTGTGTGTTTAATCAATGGTTTCAGAATTTCAGCCTTTTTCAGAATATATTCTTTAGTTTTCGAGAATAAGGAAACTTATATTGGTTTAAAACCACTTAAAGGTGAGTAAATGTTATTTTTCATTTTTGGGCGCGCTTTAATTTTTACCGGATTTATCAAAACACCACAGGTTTTGCCACATAGGCTACAATTTATAGTTCACCCTGAAAAGAAAATTCTGCCATCATTATGTATTCACCCTTCACATGTTCAAAAGCCTATGTGAGTTCCTTTCTTCTGCTGAACACAAAAGGAGATGTTTAGAAAAATGCTAGTAGCTTCCATCCATTGACTTCCATCGTGTTCTGAGTCAATATCAGCAACCAGCATTCTTCAAAATATCTTCTTTCGTGTTCAACAGAAGAAAGAAACCATTAAATTAAAATAAATTTAATTTAATTCAATTTAATTGGGCAATTTAATAAATTATATGAATAATTATCGTTATAATTTCTGTTTTTATTACTGTGAGGGTTAGGGTAAGGGTAGAGTAGACAATAATAAAATACAATTTATTGGGCAGTTTAATAAATTATATAAATAATCTCGTTGTAATTACTGTTTTTCGTTATTGGGATGGTTGGGTTTAGGTTTGTGGTTGGGGTACACGTTATTAAAACAGTATTAATGGTTAATTTAATAAATAACATAAATAAATCTCGTTATAATTTCTGTTTTGAGTTATTGTGATGGTTAGGTTTAGGGTTGGGAGAAAATACAGTAAATGGTAAATTCAATAAATAATATAAATACTTCTACAGCTGTATCCCTTCTAGCAACAACCGTGTATCGTCAGCGCTGTATTCCGTTATTTTAAAAACACTGAATGAACTCATCATCACATTTTTGCTCGTCGCTCTTCATAAGCGCGCTCATGTTTCAACCGTACAGACAGCCCAGTTGACCAATAGGCGTTGTTTATTTCTAGCTGTGGGTGGGGCTTGCCGCAGTCCTCAGCCTCGCGATCATCCACCTCTGCATTCAGTCCAGAGGGAAAGTTCGCGTCGACTGAAACTCCGCGCTAGAAGTCCTTCGAATGAATTTGTCGGTGGTTTCAGTGGGATTGTACGGTGTTTCATCGAAGCGACGAGTGGATTACAAACAACTTTAAACGGACAAAAGACGCACCGCCTGGATTAGAAAGTTTTTAATGGGAGTTTAGGGGACGCGCGCGCGTTCACGCACATACGCGCAGGATTGTATTTCAGCCCCCAAAATCGGAATTTATCCGCTGTTAGCTTAGATTTAGTCTGATGTAGTTTTATATTAACATGTTAGAAATATATCCTGCAGTCATTTAATAAAGTTTAAAGGCGAAAGTTTCCCATGAGCTGGTTCTCTGGAGATTTTACCGACAAAAGTTTTTAATTTAACGTAAACGGTCAGCGTTAAAGGTTTGTCGAAGCGGACTGATCATATCAGAGAGACTGAAGTGATCTGAATCTAATGAGCTGACAGCAGATTTCTTCAGGATTTGAGATGGATCGTGTTTGCTGGATTATGGCTCTTTCCTGGTTCTGGATGGTGTCGACTGGACTCGTCTCGGCTGAGGAAGGTAGGATGGGTATCGATTGTCTGTTTATGAAATGTGTATTGAGTTCTGCTCTTGACATGTCAGTGTGGTTTCTATCAACTCTAGGATTAACGTTATATATAATTTTTACACTGTATTTGTCTATACTGAATGCATGTGGAGGTACAATTGTAACTGTGATTTCAATCAGTTTCAGACAAGGTGGTGACTTTTTCTGGGTCACACTTTACAATAAGGTTGAATAAGATAACGTTAACATATACTAAGATGAGCAATGCTTGTGTATCTTTTATTAATCATAGTTTAACACCTAGGAATGCATTATTAAAATTCAAAGTGGATGTTTTTAATATTAGTTAATAGACAGGGAGTTAACATGAACAATGATTGACATTATTTTAATTAACATTAACACAGATGAGAAAATACTACAGTAAATGCATTGTTCATGGTTTATTCATGTTATTAAACACATTAAACAGATAGTTCATACACATTTACACAATCCAAACTTTTAGGAAGAACACAAAAGAAGATAGTTTGAAGAAAGCTGAAAACCTGTAACCATTGACTTCCATAGTAGGAAAAACAATGGAAGTCAATGGTTACAGATTTCCTGCATTCTGCAAAATATCTTCATTTGTGTTCAACAGAAGAAAGAAAGTCAAACAGGTTTGGAACAAGTAAAGGGTTAGTAAATAATAACAGAAATGTCAGTTAAGGGTGAACTATCCCTTTAATATTAACTAAAGAAACCTTATTGTGTAGTGTCACATCTTTCTTATTGTAATTCAGGGATGATGAATCAATATCTATTAAAGTTAATAGTGTCTTAAGATAAATAAATATATTGAAGTTCTTAACCTACTAATTATCTGGCTGTTCATTTGAAAAACAGATTTGTAAATTAAAAACAAATATTATTGTTGATATTTTATAAGAATACACTATTTAAGTCTGCTTGTCTATGTGTTTCTTGCTGTTTTTAGTCAGTGATTGTGTGTGTGTGTGTGTGTGTGTGTGTGTGTGTGTGTGTGTGTGTGTGTGTGTGTGTGTGTGTGTGTGGGACTGGGCTGTACAGCAGATTGTGTGTGTATGTAAAGCGCTGTGTGCATTCTTGATTTCATTAGAGGTTCCTCAAGTCAGTGTTTTGCTTTCTGTGATCTTGTAAGTGCCAGAAAACACACGCAGGCTTCCAGACGCTTGTTTGTGGACCTCGTGAAGGTTCATCTCGTGATCATTAACCCACAGCTAGTGTTTTCAGAGAGACTCACTCTTTTATTGCTTTTGTGTGTGTGTGTGTGTGTGTGTGTAAATATGTTGTGTGAGAGAGTGTGTGCACAAGTGTGTGCGTGTGTATGCGTGAATATGTGTGTGAGAGAGATGGTGTATGTGTGTTTGTGTGTAAATATTTTGTGTGAGAGTGTCTATGTTGAGTGTGTGAGTGTGAATGTGTGCAAGAGTCTATATGTGTGTGCTGTCTATGCGAGAGTGTGTGTGTCCGTGCATGTATTTGTGCGTGTAAATATTTTGTGTTAGAGAGTGTGTGCACAAGTGTGTGTGTGTGTGTGTATGCGTGAATGTGTGCATATGTGTGAGAGAGATGGTGTGTAAGTGTTTGTGTGTAAATATGTTGTGTGAGAGAGTGTCTATGTGAGTGTGTGTGTGTGCGAGCGTGAATGTGTGCGAGAGTCTATGTGTGTACTGTGTATGTGAATGTGTGTGTGTGGGCACATGTATTTGTGTGTGTAAATATGTTGTGTAAGAAAGTGTGTGTATGTGAGTGTGTAAATATGTTGTGTGAGATCGTATCTCTGTGTGCGCGCGCGTGTGCAAGTGTGAGCGTGAATGTGTGCAAAAGTCTATATATGTGTATTGTGAATGTGAGTGTGTTTGCGTGCGTGTGTGTGTGTGTGTGTGTGTGTGTGAGTGTGTCGTTGAGAGTGTATGTGTTTGAGAATGTGTGTGTGATTTGAGTGTGTAAGAATTTGTATGTAAGTGTGTCTGTGTGTGTTATAGAGTGTGCAATGTGTGTGTGTGTGTGTTTGTGTTTGTAAGTGTGTGGGTGTGTTGGAGAGTATGTACATGTGTGCGTGTATATAATTGCAAGTGTGTGTGTGTGAGAGAGAGAGAGATAGCATATATATATATATATATGTGTGTGTGTGTGTGTGTGTGATAGAGAGAGTGTGTCAGGAATTCGTTCCACGTTTCATGGCGCTCCAGGACACCTGGAGTCCCACAGAGCAAATCAGTTCCGGAATCATCCAATAACAGCAGAAATGCCATCAGTGTCCGATCCAATCACACACACACACACACACACACACACACACACACTGACTGACTGACTGAATTATAATGCCACCTAAAACACTGCATCGTCATCAAATAACCCGTGCAGAAAGTTTAATCTGAGCACAAACTAAGATATCAGGCCACACTTTCATTTATTGAACAATAGCAACTCAACACAAAAATACCTAACAAAATGACTTACACCTTGGGTATGGTAAAACAGAACATTTTAGCGCTTTTAAAACCTTGACTTTTCCAAAATGTGTTTAACCAGCCTGATCTCACGAGGAAACGTACGTATTTTACGTTCTGTCAGTTTAGTGGTTAACTTGTACGAATTCGTACAAGTTCAGTCGTGAGAAAATGTAGGATTTTTAAAGGAGGCGTGGCACCCAACCCCAACCGTCACTCGGTGATAAGCAAATCTTACTAAAGTGTACCTGTTAGATCATACAAATTCTTACGAATTAGCCACTAAATCAAAAAGTTACGAATTTCCGTTAGATTGCGTTGGTCAAACCTTTAAACTGGTTATCGTCCCATGCCTAGTTATGTTATACTGTTATTGCTTGACATAATCAACATTATATAAAGCGCTATAGACATGAACATACTTGGCGCACATTAACACACGTCACTGTTGTATTTTATAATGTCAAGCATCGAATAATCATAATTCAATATTCATTAATGCATTATTAAAATTCAAAGTTAACATAGCTAATGCATTGTTGAGTTAACAAAAACTAACAATAAATGTCTTCATTTTTAATAGGCATGGGACGATAACTGTTTTCAAGGTATACCGCGGTTTGGAAAAGTCAAGGTTTTAAAGCCGCCGAAATTTTCTGTAATACCTGGAATGTGTACGATTTTTTTTTTTATTTGCGTTTTTTTTTTTTTTTTGGACAGCAGTATCTCTAGCAAATAAAATATCTTAAGAGGCCATTTTAAAATGTACAGAAATCTGTGTTTTTGAATCTAATAAAGACAGCAGAAGTCAATGATTCATTTGAATGATTTAACCCAACATGTTTACTGCTCTAAAATATATTAAATGTTTCACAAAATAAAGTCTATTGTGTTCAAAGGGGAAAAAGGTTTTTGTTTTTTACCCAGACATTTAAAAGAACTTATTTTAATGCAGTAAACGCAATACCTTTATACTGTGAAACTGTAGTACTTTTATCCAATGTTATCATACCGTCAGAATCTTATACCGGCCCATGCCTAATTATTAATTAACATTACAAAGATTAATAAATACTGTAATAAAAGTGTTGTTCATTGTTTGTTCATGTTGGTAACACATTAACTAAAACCTTAATTTGCATATTAAACACTGTAAAAATATATCTCTAAATTAGTATTTTTTTGGATTTTTTTATTTATGTTTTGTTATTTTTTATTTTTCCACATTTATTTCTGCTTTTGAATTGCATTATGGGACCTTGATCTTTCTTCACAACAACTTTTAACCTTTAATAAGTGTAGAAAAGTGACTTTTATGAACATTTTTAATAGATTGTCTGGGTTTGTGTTGTATATTACGCTACAGAAACCTTGTCATAAACTGCAGAACATTTTCAATCATTTTACACTCCTCTATACATTACATCTGACACTTTATATTATTTTAAACCACTAAAAAGTTAATAAAAGTCTCTTTGTTAAACTGTAGAGTTGAAGCTTCAACATTAAAACTGGACAGAGCAGAGATCAACATCCCAAAATGCAATTCACAACCATAAATAAGCCAAAAAATACAGATTTTTTACAGTGTATTTACCTTGACACACACAAACACATTCCCAGACATCATAATTAACTTAAACCGGTCTGCTTTTCGAGGTGTTCAGCAATTCTCGGACAGCTCTTTTTTTGTATGTTGTATTATTTCCAAGAAATACACAGCAGTCGCATTAATTAACCTGAAACTCTGACACAACAACAGCACCGAGCGGCCTCCGTGTAGCGTCCACTAATGCCCGTGTTCTCCTGCGCTCGCTCATTACGAGACTTTCATTTGTCGTCCTGTAAGATCAACAGTATCTGACAGTGTCCAAATAAAGTGGACGCGTCCAGCAGAGAGACGGATGAAGGAACGGCTCTTAAATCAGGGTGAGCCATGTCCCGCTCTCAGCGCAAGATTTACACCAGCCTTTGAGCTTTTTTACACGTCCGTGCGACAGGAAGAGCTCATAAAACAGACCAAAGTCAAACCAAATAATTGGAAGCTTTTGAGTGTGGAAAAGTCATCTCGTGAGCTCATGCTATCAGAGAGAAAGAGAGAGAGTGTGTGTGTGTGTGTTTTACAAGGTATAGTTTCTGCATTGACATCGCACTGTGTTTCCAGCATCGTGCTGCTCTAGTGTGTGTGTTTGTGTGTGTGTGTGTGTGTGTGTGTGTGTGTGTGTGTGTGTGATTTGGTGCTGGTGAAGTTAACCAGCTGTGTTAGTTAATCTGGTGGGCTGGTCACCCGGCTCAAGTCTATTGTGGAGGAACAATAGAGCGGCAGAAGAAGCTTACGGCTCTCAGAGCACCAGCGCTGCTCCTCAAAGCACATAAAGAGCTGCTTCAGTACGGTGAACTCCAGAGAAACACGGTAAATCACTGTGTGTTTCTGCACAGCTGCTCTCGCTGAGGCAAACCCAGGACATTTGGCTTTCAAATGCTGCGTTCTGCTCTTTTGTGTGTGTGTGTGTGTGTGTGTGTGTGTGTCA